AAATGGTCAATTAAAAAAGTTTTCATTAATAGTACCATGTATCTAGTTCTAGTTAATGCTATAAGAGAAGATAGCCTAAAACTGATTTTGTACTCCATACATGCAGTCCTCCTCAAGTCTCTATTATGCTCCAGGTTATATATGAAACAATTTCATTATGGACTACAGAGTTCAAGTGTAGCCACTGAGCCACTTGGGAGATTTACACAACAAACATATTCCTAGAACGATTTATGTACTCCACTCTCTTAATACAGCAGGTCATTACTCAGTGACATGGTATAAGTGAGAGGTCTCAGAGGTTTCAAATGTTAGGAAAAGTAGAAGACAGAAAATGTAAAAGCTAGGATGGGAAAGTTTTGCATAAGCTATGTCTTATCCTAAGTAAGCTTCTTAAGAAGTATAGCATATTGCACACTACTTCTTGGGGAAAAATGGAAGGAAACGGGAAACATCTATGAGTTGATCAGAAATGCTTGTACAATGGTATAAAGCCATGAGGAGTCTAATAAAACAATACTGCACAAGGGGAACAGAGGACCTCAAGAACATTATTTACCAAGACCACAGTGACTTTGGAACTGATGAGGGCATCTCCATGTGTTGGGTTCTCAGAATCAGAGGCAAGCCCTACTCAAATGCCCTGACCCTGCAGATCACCCGATTGCTGGTTTTAGAAAAGAAACACTGCTTTATTTTAAATACCTCAGAATCTTGGGGCAATCTCCCAAAGCCTAGGCCACAGATTGTACTGGCTCTGCCAAGCATATTTGAGGAGTTTGAGAAGAAGTTAGGTGAGTCTACACACATCAGGCTCTTGGGGAAAGCTTTATTTGATCAGGGCATCCCTCAACACAATAGGGCTTTCACTGTTCAATTGGTTTTCACTAGATGTCTTCCACATATGACAGAGCTGATTTTTTTTTTCAAGAAAAAACTGCAACTTTATGGTACATCAGTCTTTAATGTTGGCTGTGAGTCTGTAATGGCAATTAAGCAGCTTGTTAAATGCCTCTTTGACATGGAGATGGGCCAATGGTTGGTATGAATCAGGGCTGAATTCTTGGTTATGGCTGGAGACAAATTTGTTGACTATCCTCTTGAGCAAATATGTGTTGCCTAGCATCCTAATCTCTAACAGGTCTGCTTGGCATGGTAATTATCTACTTAGCTCTTAGCTAAACTCTACTTGGTGTGACTTCTTGTCACCTAAATATTGGCAAATCACTTACATCAACAATTCTACTCATTTACATCACAGCTTTATAATGAAGTGCTACATGTTATTTACAACCTCCACAAAATTAACTCCAAAGGAATCTTATACCTGAATATTAAATACCAAGGTCAGAACTTGTAATAGATACTAGAATCTAGACCTCTCTGAGTTTGCACACTACAAAGGACATTTCTGTGATCAAGCCCCTGCTGCAAATACTTTGTGAACATGCAAGCCCATAGTGTATAAGTAGGCAGCCTCCAGAGCCCCAGTCCTCTCCAAGCAGCTCTTCCATTTTACTAGCAAGATTAAATTAACTTCACATTCCAAAGCTTGCAGCACCATCTCCCACTCAACCCCTTGAAACATTTTCCTAATTATCAGTTAAGTGGTAAAACTTGCTCTTACCTTAACCAATGTGCATAAATTGTAAAAATATATCACTTACAAAGCCCTGCCTTATTATGGACAGAGCACTCATGTCTTTGTTTCTTTATCACCTTGAGCTCCAGACTACATGTCAATGGATATAAATGTAGGGCCTTGGAATCCAGACCAAATGTCTTGGAAAACAGTTAAAGGCCTTGAGCCCAGTGATCTGGATCAACACAGCCTCCAACAGAAAATCCCTTGCCTAACCCACAATGTTAAAATTTGATTGGATGACCCCAGGACTCACCAAGGGGCCCTCCCCTTGTGGATTTAAATATTTAAATATACAATAAAGCTTACTCTGGGTCACCTTTCAAATCCTGAACTGGCTGCCTCCCTGAGCTCAGAAAATAAAGCTTTCATTTTAACCTTCTGTTCCAGAAATGAGTTTTCTCTGCTCCCAACCAAAAGCCAATATAATCAAGATATTAAGATGCTCTGCTCTGTTCATTGCTAGGAAAAGGGACATCTCCCATGGCTGATTCTGGCTGCTGGTTCCCACCCAGCCCCATGAAAGACCCTACAAAGCAGCTCCTGTTGTTCAGCCTCTTGCTCCACCAGGTTGGGGGCATTGACCACAAACTCACCAAACTTGTCTGAAATCCCTTCATGGCACACAGCAGCTGCGCTCATACCAGAGCACACCAACCATTCAATGCAGCTTAGCTATAGAGGGAACATGCACATGGCACCAAGAAGAACCGGCCTCTTTCTCAAATGGAGGAATGGAAGATCCTGATTGGCCAGTGAGTTTTGAGTGACATGAGCACCTCCCTTAGGTTTACACTGTAATGAAGGGACAGGCTTAGTGATCTATGGCTCAGGCTTCGGTTTCAGTACCAAATCTTCTTCAGATATGCAGAGATTTGCATTTCATCATCATTTGTGCCTGTCCTCCCCTAGCCTACCCTCTGTCTTCCAGCACGCAGAATGCAATATCCCTCTTCCTGCTGGAATCAAGGTGGATATTGCACAACTGTTATTCAACCTGTAGCAGAGTGAACAGTCTGTTGCACAGGTGGAAGGGTGCCAAGAGTATTAAGAATTAGAGAGAAATTTTAGAAAATGCAAGGATATTTTTGTTCTGTGAATTCACGCTGAGGTTTGACGTTTAATTATACACATGTCAGAATGGTGAAGTTTATCAGGACAAGCGACAGCTCACTCATACTGAAGGTGGAGAGATGGACCAGATGCAGGCTGAAAGACTTCACCCCTATGTTCCAGTCTCTTTGGGGTGAGACAGTACTGTACAGGCTACCAAAAGAGAAACCTGGACACAAACCCAGAATAAAAACCACTACACCTAAAATCTGTACTGCTTCCAAGATATAAAGGGGGCGTGGTGACACCAAACTTGCTTGACTTGTAGCCCAAGCCATGAGATGGAACCCACTCCCTTGATTGCCAGGAATGTCACAGAGACATAAATGACAAGCACTGTGTGTGCATGTGTCGATACCAGGTCCTCTGCTGAGATGTCATGGCTGTTACCTTGGCATTTTTGTGGGACTCCTAACATTAGAAACAGGTGTAGCTTTGACCCTCTCACCTGCACTTGAGTCTCTCTTTCCCCTATTGGGTCCCTTGTCTATCCTCAGTGTGAGATCTGTTTGCCTTTTCTTTTTGTATCTTGTTTGGTCTTGTTTGGCAGTCCTATCTTGGAGGCCTGTTCTTTTCTGAAAAGGATACAGAGGGGAGGGAGTGGAACTGGGGAAGAAGGGTATGCTGGACGTGGGAGAAGTGGAGGGAGGGAAAACAGTGGTCAGAATATAGTGTATGAGGGAAGAATCCTTTTCAATTAAAAAGCATTAATTCAATTTTCCTACCTAAAAATGCAAAGAAGGGAAGCAATCAAAGAGAAGTGAAGTAGTGAAGACAAGGAAAACACAATCATGACGTACAGTTATCATTCTGTGTGCATAGAGGGTAAGCATCACTCAGGAGTTTAACAAGCTTATTCTTTAGTCCCATTTAGATCTGTGAAATCAGAAGTTTTGCTCTCACCAATGTGAAATATATATCATGCAGGTAAAAAAAAGGGTAATTTTCTGATGTTATGTGGAATTACAGGGGTCCCTGCTCACTTAATTCCAAAAGAGTAATCTTTATTTTCTATATTAAAAACTAAAGTTTGGAGCTGGTGAGGTGGCTCAGTAGATACGAACACTCTCTGTTCCTTCAGAGGTCCTGAGTTCAATTCCCAGCAACCATATGGTGACTCACAACCATCTATACTGTGATCTTTTGCCCTCTTCTGGTATGCAGGTGCACATGCAGACAGAACATTAATTAAATAAATAAAATCTTAAAAAAACCAAAAACAATGTTTGAATAATATTCACAATAATAGAAATTAATGCATAATGTTATACATATTTATACATTAAATATATAATACATTAAGTATATACTGATATTCTAAAATGTTAAGCATTTAAACATGTTTTTCCAATAAAAATAAAAGTATTACCATCTAAGGCAGGATAGCTGACCAGAACAAAACTAAGAAAAGTGTCACTTGTCTAAGATTATTACATTTTCATTCAACTGTAATTTATTGTCATTATTTCAACTCAAACAAAACAAGTCAGTCTGTTTCTTAACTCATTTTCACTTCATGTAGCATGACTCATTGGCAGAAAGCTCTCAGACCATCAACATAAACCAATTATCTGCATTTTTATAGTATACTATAAAAGCACATTTGCTTTTTTCTATAACAATTTTTTTTTGCTCTAAAAAGCCTGCTATTTGATTTTCCTTCTCCACATACCAACTCAAATTATGTTTCAAAAATTCTTTGAAGGTAATTGCTTCAACTAGGTTGTGTTGTTTCTGCCTTTCATTTTCTATTGAAAACTTTAAGGTAGACAATATGACTGAAGCTCTCCAACCCAATGGACAAATGGGAATGCAGCAAGATTGAAATCAGAGAGTAGACATTTGTTGATTTGACACTGTTTATGCTGTAATTATATACTGTTTCATGACGAATACAGCACTGGCTGTGAGAGTCTTTTATAAGTGTGTAATCCTTTAACCATTGCTATTGTCTTCATTCATTTACCATACTGTCATCAACAGTATGGGACTAGACATGTGTAGCAGAGCACACCAAGTATTATGCACTCCTTTTCTCTTGGGGCACGCCATTCTTAGAAAAATAACATTCCTGTTAGGATCGGCCACACTAGTTTGTCATGTCTTGTGTTTGTTGAAACATTGTAACTACAGAAATTTGGTTTCTAGAACTAAGTTCCTCTTAGTTCCTCTTCCAAAATCTTGATTGCCTTAAGTCTGTGAACTTCAAGTATTGCCAGTTTGGACTTTTCCTAACCATCTAAAATTAAATAACTGACACTTCTGTCCAAGCAGGAAAGCTTTCACCATCCTTTTTCTCCATCCCTTTCTGTGCTATGATGACACCAGCTTCAAAGTTGGCCAGTGAACTCAGTTCATACACAGGTTCCTCTTTATTTGTAACTGCCCACCCTACGAGAGCCAGGGATGATTTTGGAACCTCATTCACTCGTCTCTTTTCCATTTTACTGACCAGGTTAAAGTCCAGCCTGAAATGAGTTGCAAGACACTGGGCCACAGAAGCAGGATTGGGTGTTCAAAGCAAGTCTTAACTATACAGCATGAAGAAAGGCTGAGTTTTGGGAGACGCTGCTCTAAACAGAAACTAATGAGAAATTCCTTTTTAAATAGGAATAAAACTATTTTTTGAAAAACATGTATTTAATTTTATTTTCTGTGAATTACTGTGAAGGTGTCATATCCCTTGGAATTGGCATTACAGACAGTTGTGAGCTGCCACGTGGGTGCTGGGAATTGAATCTGGGTCCTTTAGAAGAGGAGACAGTGCTCTTAACCACTGAGCCATCTCTCCAAGTCCCAGGAATGAAATTCTTAATGACTGAGAAATGTTGGAGAAGAGAAACAAATAAGAGATTAGTGTAGTGATGCATAAAGAAAATAAAACTTAGTAATACCAACAATTGACTTTTTTAGAAAGATAAATATAATTGAAAAAATACGTACGTATCCTGACTTTGAACAAAAGCACACCCTTCTCTGGTAGAGGTAATGGCATTAATCAGATACTGTTTGACCTTGATTCTACCTGCAGTATTAGCTGCTGAGATTGGTAACCTGACATACAAAGCTACCGCTAAAAGCTGAGTCTCAAATTTCTGGGCAGCCATAACCCTGTCTAGGAAGACTATGAATAAATTCATAGGATAGACCTACTTGGGAATTCAGTACTCACTGGCTTCCTTTGGGTAGTACTAACCTACCCAAATTGAACACTCACCAACGTGGTTTCACTCACATGCAATAGTTAATATGTGGTAGAAATTTAAAAATCACCAACCGTGTGGGAATAATGTCCTTTTTCATAGGGTGACCCCTGCAGCTGATTGCCTTAAACTTTATTCTATGATCTAGCTATTGCCTATCCTGTTTCACCCAGCAATTGTACATAATAAATTGTTCTTCCTGTTCTGAACAGATGGCAGAAACCATGCTCCACATGCAAATCCCTTCACTGTAACTACAATGGACAGTATTACACTCCCAAATATGATCCTCGCTTTTGAGAAGAAACTCCATTTTATTCTCAATACATGAAGAACTTAGTGAAAGCTCTGAAGGCCTAGGCCCCAGTCTGTTACTGGCTATGCCAAGAATGTTAATGGGTTTGAGAAAGAACTATGCCATTCCCCATATATGAAGGTTTCATGGAATGCCTTCATTACTCAGGTCAGCCATGAACACAAGTTTTGTTTTATTTTTTCTTTTCAAAGGGTTGTCAACCAGTATAGACTTACCACAGTGGAAAAACTATTCTTTTCTCAAAAAGTTTAGGTAAATGAATTTTAATTTAGAACATGGTTGTTCTGGCAAGAGATCATATCCAAAGACTTTCTAGGTCTATATGATCTGGTTTGAAAACAGACACACCTTTAATCCCAGGAGAAGAGATAAGCAGATCTTTGTGGTCAAGGCAAGCCAGGTATAGAGCAAGCTTCAGGTAAAGAAAAGCTTAGGTCTGGGCATGGTGGTACAAACCTTTAATCCTAGCCCTCAGGAAACAGAGGCATGCAGATGTTACATGGCTACATGCAGATGCAGCCATTTCTGCTCAGGCTGTTTGGCTGAGTCAGTGAGTTGAGAGGCAGTGCAGTCAAGTTTGCAGAATTCAGAAAGTTTTACTGGGAGACTTTTACAGACACAAGTTGAAGAGAGAAACTAGACACAGGTAAAGACAGACAGTGCCAGAGAATGAGAACCATCCAGAAGATTATAACATATTACCAAAGTTAGTATGAGGCCAAGCAGAGCAATTCAGTCATAAACTAGGAAAAGCCAGATTGATTCAGTCACCTTGGAGGAGACTATGAGCCAGAACAGCTGAGTTGAATAGGCCACCAAGAGTTCAG